AAAAAAAAAAAGTTTCCAACGGAAGAGTGCTTACTAAGCGGCCTCGGAACGCGGCATCAGAACTAAACGAAAGTGTCAGAAGTCAGATTGTTATTCTGAGCAAACAGGGGCTTTCTCAGCTTCAAATCATGGCTAGACTGAAAGTTGCTACGGGGGCAGCGCCCGGCACTCGAAAACACTTTGTAGTGACTGCATCAGTTGTATCCAAAGCACGATCGCGGCAGACCAAAAGTGAGAACACCACCACAAGATCAATACATCAAGCTTTGTTCGCCGAGAAATAGCAAAGCAACTTCATCACAGATACAGAATTAGCTAAATAAAGAACACAAGACTCCCACCAGCAAAAAAGTCCTGTAAGAAGAAGGCTGTCGGGCAGCGGCCTCAGAGGAAGCGTGGAGTCTCTTAACTGTGTCTCGGGAGGGAAAACAAGGCCAGACTCTTTGGCAGCACTAAAACAGCGGATGATGCAGAAAAGTCCTATTTACTGATGAGATTTTGAGACGGTAACAGAAGCGCAGAGGTTTTTTTTTTTTTAAATTGGTTTGTCAGAATGTGTGACTGAAAGTGTGACTGTTACACCCAAACTCTTAACAACCCCACTGACACGCTATATATAGACTGTATTTGCTTGACTTGAAGTGTAAATGAAAACAATGTTTCACATGAAATGTGTTAAAGTTTGACTCTAGTCTACCTTGTAGCTGCTGATCTTTAGTGTCTGGACCAACTCTAAAGTGAGGCAGAGAGACAGTGTTGTAGCTTTTTACCTTTAAAGGGCAGCGGACATGGTACACAACATTTTGATGGCTGTTATGCTTAAATTTGGACCCATCTATGCTTGTCGCAGCTGATGAAAGTCACTTAACCACCTCTGTCTGCATTCAGTGGCTGCGGTTACATGGTGCTAACTAACTTCAGTTCCTTTCGGTGCGCACTTTTAACTTACTTACCGTAATTTCTGGACTACAAGCCGCTACTTTTTTCACACGCTTTGAACACTGCGGCTTAAACAAGGATGTGGCTAATTTGTGGAATTTCAAGAAGAAAGTGAGAGCGACAACAAAAGAGAGACTCAGGAAGTGTGTGACGAAGTAATTCTGAGGTTGTTCAATTCCGACGCTGAAGAACTTTAGTGGTTTTAGAGCAGGAGGAAGATGAAGATAGCTATCAATGACTTTTCCTGGTAGGCGACTGTATTTTTTCATTTTTTTTAACCAGCCGTGTTCCAGGTGCTGTTGGGGGAAAAAAAGCATTTGTGTACGTTGCTGCTACGTATTTAATTAAAAGTTTAAAAAATCTCTCTGTTACAACGTGGACACCTGCGGCTTATAGACAAATGTGGCCTATATATGTACAAAACTTGTTTTCTTTTTAAAGTTAGCGGGTGCGGCTTATATTCAGGTGCGCCAATAGTCCGAAAATTACGGTAATTTTATAAACATAGGGGAAAACATTTTGTGTAAACTTGTACAACTTTTGTCTACGTGCCAACAGATGCTACCCAGCACTTGGGGAAAAGAAAGAAAGAAAAAAAAAAAAGATGCATATTAGACATTTTACAGCTTACATTTTAATTTTGTTTACATTTAATTAAAAGTTAAAAAAATCTTTCTGTGTAAGTATCTCGTGTTATAACCTGGACACCTGCGGCTTATATACAAGTGCGACCTATATATGTACAAAACCTGTTTCTTTTTAAAGTTAACGGGTGCGGCTTATATTCAAGTGCGCCAATAGTCTGAAAATTACGGTAATTTTATAAAAATGAGGGAAAACATTTTGCGTAAACGTGTACAACCTTTGTCTACATGCCAACAGATGCCACCCAGCACTCGGGGAAAAGAAAGAAAGAAAGAAAAAAAAAAAAAAAGATGCATATTAGACATTTTACAGCTTACATTTTAATTTTGTTTAATTAAAAGTTAAAAAAATCTTTCTGTGTAAATATCTCATGTTACAACTTGGACACCTGCGCCTTATAGACAAGTGTGGCCTATATATGTACAATTTTCTTTTTAAAATTAGTGGGTGAGGCTTATATTCAGGTGCGCCAATAGTCCGAAAATTACGGTAATTTTATAAAAATGGGGGAAAGCATTTTGCGTAAACTTGTACAACCTTTGTCTACGTGCCGACAGATGCTAACCAGCACTTGGGGGAAAAGAAAAAAAAAAAAAAGATGGCTCTGCATATTAGATGTTTTACAGCTTACATTTTTAATGTTGTTTACATACATATTTAATTAAAAGTTAAAATAAAATGTATTATATTATCTATATATGTACAATTTTTTTTCTTTTTAAAGTTAGTGGGTGAGGCTTATAGTCAGGTGCGCCAATAGTCCGAATATTACGGTACTTACTTCAATTCTCAAGGAGGTAGATCGATAAATTAGCAAAATAAGTTGACAAAAGTCATCAAAACCAAATTCCAGAAAAGAATCTGCCGATACATTCGTCTGATCACCTGACCCTGCTCCTTTAGTTCTTCACTGCAGTTTGCACGTTTGTCTTGAACACTTCTGCAGCGCTAAATGTGAAAATACCAGCAACTCTTGCCGATAACATTATCATCATTGTTTTTGTTATTCAGAAGAAGAAGAAAAAAAACTTCCTCGATTTATTCACTACTAAATTCAGGGAGCTAGTGACCGAAATACCAAACACTCATTCGGATTCAGATGGCGGCGTCCCTTTTGTCTTCCATGCTCGGCACAGGAGAGTCGCAAACAAGCGATAACAAAGTGACCTGTAACTCCCTCCGACTTAAAAGACAGGAGGCTACATTCGGAGCAAAATCAATCTCCTAACTAACTCCGAGCTGATGCGCTGCGTCGAGGTTGCTTCCCAGACTGCGACTTGACACAGTCTGGTCAGGAGCAGATAAAGAAACGGCGTGGCGGACTTGAGAGAAACAAAGGCAGAAAGCCAGGGACGGAAGAATAGAGGGAATCAGACAGGAATTGAGTACAGTGGCGTCCGGCCGGCCCTCGGGAGAGACTCATGAGTGGCCTGAAGGTCGGCTGATAGATGGTGATTGATGGTCGCTATCTGCCCAGCGAGCCTGTCCGCGGAGAGCGCCGCTGTGTTGGAGTGGATTCTATCATCAAGTGAACTGACCCCTTCATAAAGCTTACCAAGCCCGGTGCATGCCCTTTGTGCACTTCTGTAATGGCCTGCATTGTTTGAAAGTGTGTGTCCGTAATGCTTTAAGAAGCCGTACATTCTCCCGATTCGCCTGCTTATTTGGCCGTCCGTTCTTTTATATCCGCGTTTGTCTCGAGGCATCTTCACGTGTCTCGGGGTGTTTCGATCTTTGCGCGCCACCGTCTTGCTCGCCTATCCGCCGCCGTCTGTGTGTGTGTGTGTGTGTGTGTCGCCCTGTGGCGGCGTCTTCTGGCCCTCACAATCCTCAGGAGAGGGTGGTGTCATTTTTCACAGTGACAGGCAGCGGCCCACGCAGGGTGGCCCCGGGTCTCCAGACTAATAGTGTCTGGCCACAGTCTCTCTCTCCTCGCTCTTCTTCTTCTTCATCTTCGCTTCCACCGACCACCGACCACGGCCCCTGCAGGAGCCGGCGGCAGAGAAATGGTCTTTGGCTGTGAGTGCGCGTTACTCCAGACAGACTGAGGAGGATCATACTCCCATTTGTGCGTTCGTGGAGGGGACAGAGAGATAGGCACGTTCAAGCAAAAATGTAATTGGTTTATTCCTCGCATGGATCAAGGGATGACGCTTTTATTCAGATCAATGAGTTGGTTTAATCAAAGGGCACTATAACATCTGAGTGATTTAAAATTTAACTGGAACAATCCGGTTAAGCTCCTTACTTTCAAGCACCGCGTTGAGGCTTTTCCACGCTGTGTTTTGCAACTTTCATTGCCATGACAAACCCACCATTGTGTTGTCTCTGTGTCCTTTTTCAGCCGCACTTCAAAGAACCTTGACGCCTATTGCTCCCTACGGAGAGACATTCCTGTACAACAACCCTCCGAGTGTTCCGGTAAGACGGCGTACGCTCCCACTAGTGGACGGCGAGGTGCAGCTCGCCAAAGAGGAACAGACATTTCTCAGATCTTCAACACTATCTGCGGTGTTTCAGCCACAGTGTGCACACCAAACTTCCCTCTCTGTGTGTTAATGCTGTCACCATGGACACATAGCCGAGTGGAAAATGTGCTTGTTTCAGTTTGCCCCCTGAGGTTAATAGAAATGTCACCTCGCCACTAAAGTTAACATAGTTTAGTGCACCAACACGATAACGGCGTCTGACTGAACTGGAAGATGGACACTTTCTTTTCATCTGATGCTAATCTCTCTTTTTGTGCTCTGCAGGACCAAACCGCTAAAGACGGGTTAGAGACGGGTTTTAAGGACAAGTTGAAACAGAAGAAGCAGAGGTACGGTGTGCTCATGTGACGCTACTGTCCCACACACTGTGCACATAAATAGGAACTCACATGTTCATAAAGAGAACTGCTAACCACTGAAAAGGTTTTTGTGGTTACTAGTTCTCGGTGTAGCTCGTTGTACACACAGCTGGGTACAGTGCTGTTGACAATATGTGGTGTGCACATGAAAGTGTGTTGCATTGGAAACCATCAAGGTAAAATAAGCAGTCAGGTTGATTTGAGGACAAGAATTATTTCCTGACATATTTGAAAACACACATGTGAAGATAATTATAAACCTTGGGCCAGGAAGTGGTTAGCTTAGCTTAGTTTAGCAGGGCTTAAATTATAATAAATATAAAAATGACTTTAGGTTTACAGAGAGGGCCACTGTAGCTGTTCCCCCAGCAAACAGCAGCCAGACGTAGCGATCCAACATGGCGGCTCTGTTCATTTAAACATTGCTTCATTCGTCGTCGATGAAGTCTCTTGAAGGCAGTGCATGATTATCATAATTTCGGTGAAGAGATAATGACATGCACAGTTTTAAATTTTATTTTTTTGGTGCTTGAATGTGGACAGAGCTTGGCGAACTCGTCCCCCTGCTTCCAGTTTTTTTGCTAAGCTAAGCTAAGCTAAGCTAATCTCCTGAATTCCTATGTCCCACACAGATATGAAAGATAGAAATTTGAGAAGCCACAAAAAATAACTAAATTATGTGGTATGCAAGGGTAATTAATTGTAGTATATTTTGCATGAATTGCTTTTTATAACAATCGAAGCCCCTTTAACACCAAGCAGGTCTGAGCATTTTAACTTACTGTAGGCTAATATTTCCTTTCCTGCACCTCTATGGAAACGCCGTGACAATGGCTAGCTGTAGACAAACTCAAAACTATATAATATATAACAGTGTGACAGTTATTTAAAAAAAAAAAATTTAAAAAAAGAAAGAAAAAAAAATTCTTTGATTATTGATTTTACAAAAACTGGAATCAACCTGTGCAACATTTCCACAAGTGTACATCAGTGTTACCAATAGGGAACAAATTGTTAGCTCTCCATGCTACACTTCTTGCGTGTTTCAATGCCTTATCTGCTCTGTGTATGAACAGCCTGCACTTCAGCCCAGTTTCGCTGAATAGTCCTTTATTTTTGTCAAGTAGCTGTTGGTTACAGCTGAGCCACTAGTGGCTTCCATAGCAAGCAGAAGAGTGCAGAATTTTTTACTTTTTACAAAATCTGGATCGCACAAACTGCTTGTTTGTGGCGAATATTTTAAATTAGACATGTAGCATGAAGCGATTTTGATGAAAGATTGCAATTTCAAGCTCTCCTATACTGTTTGGCTCATTTTTATCGTGACACATGAGCCGCAGGAGGACCGTCGGAAAGTTGAACATCCGACGAGTCTTCCTGTTGTTATGGTATCGAGGTAAATACCGTCATTTTGGAGATAATTCAAAAAGATAATGCGTCTTTCAAACCAAGTAAAGTTCAAACGGGGTGTTGTGCAATGCAAACAGGAAGTTAGTTCCAGTTTTAACTAACTCACAATGTCATCTGTGCCCATGCAAGAAAAAAGGCGCCTAAACCGAAAGAGTCAAAAGAAAAAGAGTGTCCACCAGCTCCAACCATCCCAGACCCCTATGGCGACGAGTACTCGACGGTGGAGGAGTGTGTGGGCATGTTGCCGCGGGCCTGTTTGGACCAAAGTTTCGCCCCAACCCCTGACACCGCCGCCGTCGGCCCAAGCGACGGATCCTTGATCATGGTGGACTGCGACCTCTACTCGGAGCCCGCCGACGCTCTGGGATGCGTCGCCAAAAAAGCGCTTCCTGATATTTCTCCCTATGCGTGCTTCTATGGAGCGCCCAAACCTCAGGTGCTCAAAGTGGGCTGGCTGGACAAGCTGTCACCTCAAGGGTAGGTCACACTTCTCCAAACTCAGAGCTGGATTTAGTGGGGCTCCATGTTGCATAGGGGATGCTGTAAACACTCATTTCCTACTCTTGCTAAAGTTTGCAACCACTACAATCTAAAATGATGGGAACTCAGCACCACGCGTAACCACAGCTTTTTTTTTTTTCAAATTCATTTCTTACAGACCCATTTAATTTCCTGCTCTCCTCTGCTCTCCTGTGTGCCTTCTATCGTTGCTGATTATTTAAAAGTGATAAATGGTATTAGATATAGAATCCTAAGGCAGATCTATCCATAATGCATAGCACCATTGAAGGAAAAAGAAGATGAGACAACTGCACAATATGTCTGAGTTCAGTTCTCCTGGTGAGGCTCCGTTCTCTCTTGGTGCTGCATGCTTCACCATGGCTCACAGCCAGAACTATCAATCATCTACTTCCTTTTTACATTATCCTTCGCCACCTGATTTACATAGGTTTGGCAAAGTGCCCTTGGGCTGTTGAATATTCAAACTGAAAGTGGCCATTTGTTTTGATTATGATAATTGACAGCTATTGATAGGACTCTTGACATTAATGAATCAATGGCACTTTTAATGAAATATGAGTACCTGCGCGAAGCACATTACTGGCTCGCCGTCTTGACAGCTTTGGAGTTTGTTTTTATTTTTTACAGCACTGTGGCTTATTGAACCGGATCGGTTTGGTTGAATTTAGCAGCGTACGAAACACATGCTCACCTCATCTTCTCACCTTTCTTTTGCAGAAATTGTGTTTTTCAAAGGAGGTGGGTGAGATTCGACGGCGAGAGTCTGGCCTACTACAACAGCGACAAGGTAGGTGTGAAAAAAACCGACGCCCACACGCGTACGCTAATAGCTGCGAAAGCCTAAAATGTCTCGTGTTCAGACTGCCCTCCCCTCCTCCGGTTTCCTGCCGACACACCCACAGCTTCTCGCCGTCTCACCGGCAGAATCTGTTTCGCTCCTTTTGTTCGAGAAATCCATACCGCGAGCAGCTGAGTCAAGTTCCTAAGTGTTCCCTTCTTTTTTTCACCCTCCTTCTCATTGTCATCATCATTAGCTTGGCAGAGCAAAGAACTAGAGGAGGATGGAGGATGGAGCGATATTACACCATGCATGACGGGCCGGCATTTTCTGTGTCCGCCCAGCCATACAGTAAAGTACATTGATGTTGGCACCTGACCAACTCTCTGGGAAAGAAAGATGGAGTGAGGAACGGAAGAGAGAGCTTTCTGCCTTCCTCAGCATTTCTCCCTCTCTTCACTCTCCCTCCGTCTGACGTTGGAGTTTGAAATTTCGCTTAGTGTTGCCTGCATCATCATCACCGGAGCAAATATGATATCCTGACAGGTATCGGTGCAAAACCTTCACGTGTACAGTAAGCAGGCTTGTTTGTTTGCGGTAAATAAAATAATCTGGGAAATAAGCATTAACGACACTCGCAGGAGAGGGCATGTGATTTAAGAACTGACAGTAGAGCTGGATTAAACAAAATAACATTAGAAATAAAACCCAAAGCAAGGTAAAGTTCTCAAACTTCGTACCTTTTTGATTCTTGATGCTGTGTAGTTGATTGGAAAAAAAAACCCTTGATGCTTTTAAACTTTATAAAATTAACCACATCTAAGCTATAAGTCCTGATATTGTACCAAAAACACTTTATTGTACACGTCTTATTTAAAAATTAAAAATATTCAATTATATTATAAACATCATCTGCTCCAGATTCTGTTAAAATATATATATATATAGAGAGATTTTTTTTGCACTCCTTGGCACAACCAAGAAGACTAATTTTGGCTTTTCTACATAATGTTTGTATTTTTACTTATATTTTGTTCTCGTCTTACATTGTACTTATTATTTATTCGGCTTTTTAAAAACAAGAACCAGAGTACCAATTTCGTACCACAAACATGTAAATGTAAGTTGGCATGACAATAAAGTTCCTTGAATCCTTGACTGACTGACCAACAGGCAAAAGTTCCGGGATTTTACGACTGAACTGGGCTGAACTGCAGGTTGTGTTGACACAGAGCAGACAGGAGACGAGTATGTAAACAA